ATTATATTACGTTATATCATATCATATTATATTACATTATATTATATCATATCACATTATATTATATTATGCAACATTACATTATATTATATTATATTATGTTAAATTATATTACATTACATTATATTATATTATATTTCGGCCACTTGTATCAGCAATCTCAGTCTTTCAGTCACAGCAAAGAGCGCATGACCGTGGGTGGGACGTAGATGGACCTATAAATTAAACGCTTTGCAAACAAAAAATAAATAAAAATAATAACAAGGAAGAAAAAAAAAGTAAAAGTCTGACAAAAGGAAAAATATAACTATTCTGTACATTGTGCTTGTTCTGCATTACACAAGCACTAATTACTCTAAGTACTGTAAGTATTTTGGCTGTAAGTTTTTTTTTTCTTTTTTATTTATTAAAAAACACAAATAATAAGAACATTACAAAAAAAGAATCTTCAGTCTGTGCAGTGATAACTTCTCTCTGGGTTGATCTTCATCTCTTCAGTGAGTGGCTTTTGTTTTAACTCCAAGGTATCGGATAAAAAAGCAAGAGGGTCAGAGTTCATGGTGTGATGTGATGAGACAGGACTGTGTGCATACTGTGTGCAACATCGTTTTTAAGAGCCACTGTAGTACCTACTAAAGGTAAAAAGAAAAAGTATGCGATTCGGTACGCACCCCATGTGTCCTCAGATGTGCTCATGGTGAATGTTTGTGATAAAGTTCATGTGTTGAGAAACTTCTCCTTCGTGAACTCTTTAAAAACCCTCTCAGATCGGCTGGAGAACAAATCTGAGGCAGCTTTAGCAAGACAACAGCTGTCTGCTGTGGCTGGAAAATGTGATAAGAGCAGCAGGACTGAACCAAAACAGAGAAGCTGTAAAAGGCCACAGAGTAAGTGTGCAGCAAAACAAAAACAAGAGGCTAAAAAGGCTAAAAAGCTCCGTAGAGCAGAGCGGACTGCAGTCAGGTGATCGTTTCACATAAAACAAGTCACTGATCAGTGCAGCTTTAAATCAGTTCTGTTGGGACTGGAAAACGACTTTTATTGTCATCTACTGAAGCTACGACACTTGAGGTCTCCCTGGAGCGACAGTATAAAAATAATGTATTTGGCTTCCAGTGATTTTAATGGTGCGAGTTCTGCTCAGACTGGGAGCTAAACATCATTTAATCCAAACCAGATCTAATTCAGCCTGAATGTCGGAACTTGTCTTTGAATCCTTGTGACTCATCTGTAGAAAATGGATTTGAGAGGAGACAGTCAGCTGATTCCCCCGTCTCACGCTAACTGCTGAATCCATCTCGACCTGGTGCATTCTGGGATTTCTGCACATTTTCTCAGTGACAGCGTAGCTGCGTGTTCCAACCTTGACCTGGTTTCCTTTGTGTTTGTGTGTCACAGGACGTCCTCAGCAGCTGCTTTCATCAGATTACACTCTGTCTCCTTCACACCTGGATGTTAGTATGGTGGCGTGTTATCAGATGACGGGCTGGTCAGACCGGCTCTCTGCTGCCTGCATTCTGCCTGCAGGTAACCAGAGCAGGCTGATAACAGGAGCTGCAGACATGTGCAGCTGAGACACTCCATGAAGCCTTCAACTGTCGTCTGCTCACACTTTTATTTTTTAGGCAACCTGCGTGTTTGGTCTCAGACTGTGCTGATCACCACAAGACAATACAGCAGAAATGAACTAGAATTGCAGCCTTGTGGTTTTATACCTCCGCCAGCCAGTCAAGTTGCAGTTTGCATCCTCGACTGAGATGTCTGCCTTGTCTCCAGCCTAACTGAAGTAGATGGCACTCGGCTTGTGGTGCTGAAAGTGCCAAAAAAGACTCGATTTGAAAAAATCACGACCTGGTTACTCAAAACAATCCACAGATCTTGTTGTGAGCAGTGTCATGTAGGAACTACTTTCTTTCTTCCAAAAATCCGCCAACTGTATCACTGCACAGAAGGAAGCATGCTTTTTACTGCCAGCTCACCTCGCACCAATGAGCTAGCTAACGTTACAGCTCAGCTGAGGAGGACGCCATCAATGTTTACATCCCGCTCTGTCACAAGCCCGAGCCTCTTGTCCCTGAGCAGATGCACACTTCTTTCTGCGCCATGATACAGTTGGGAGGGTAGTTCAGTTCTCGGGTAACCAGGTCATGATTTCTGAAAAGAGACGTTGTTGTTGAGTTTTCAAATTTATTTTTGGCACTTTGAGCACCACAGGCCGAGTACCATCTAGTTCAGTTATGTTGGAGAGAAGACAGACATCTCTACAGCCGATATCTCCAACACTCTGCAACTCACACCAAAACTATCAAGACTGTTAATAACTCTACAGGTGAGAGGAACATTTTGGATTTTTGATTTGGGGGTGAACTGTCCTTCTAAGGGTATTTCATCAAATTTGGCACAAATGTCCACTTTGTGTCAAGGACAAACTGATAAGAATTTCTTGGTCAGAAGTCACTGTAACCTCACAAGTCATGTTTTTGGCCACAACTCAAGAATCTCTATGGCCGATATCTCCAACACTCAGCAACTCACAAAAAGGTTCCCATTCTGAAACAAAACTCAAATTTTTCATAACCATCCAACCAAAAGAAATCAACATAGACAGAAGTCATTTTACTGAAAACTACGTTCCTTATGTCTTTATATACAGGAAACAAGAAGTGAACCTCATTCTGAACTTCACCTGAATAACACAACAAACAGATTCTGTCCTCCTCTGGGGCGGCGCTACGCCCTCCAGTCTCTACGGCCAATGGTAATGTTTCTGAGCACAACTGTGCACACAGGGATATCTGTCTGTTGTTTAGATTGTACTTCCCATAAGCTTCCACACTGTCACTGTTCCTTATGAGACGATAAGTTAGTAGTTTTGGTTTATACCATATGTCAACAGACCATTTTTCTCTAAACATGCAAAACATGTCAGTCCTAATCTCCTGAATATCACAAACTAACCTGGAAATAAAGGACAAGTTCAAATAAAATAATGATTTCAACTCAGTAGCCCAGGGGTGACAGTGGGAGTGTCCCAATTAAACATCTTTTTCACGAGTCTCTGATCCGACATCTCCACGAGTCTATTCCAAAGCCGAAGCTTTTGGCATTTATGTCTGATGTTTGAAGGTTCCCATCCCATATCTCATGAACTGGTTAGATTTGTCACTGTTACTATGACCTCACAAAATCTGTTTTTGGCCTTAACTCAACAACCTCTACAGACGATATCTCCAACACTCTACACTGATAAACAGCACTACAGGTTAGAGGTAAAATATGGGGTTTTAATTTGGGGGTGAATGGTCCCTTTAAGGGAATCTTTAGATGTCGCTTTCACGAGAATTAGACAGACTAACGGACGGACGGTCACCATGGCTGTGACCAGTGCAGAGGCAAAAACAAAAGAATCTGTGTTCTATTTTCCAGCCACAAGTCGCAGCACAAACAGGACTTATATTTTAAATTCAAATAAAAGTCAGAGACAGGTGAGACACTGAGCTGCAGTCCGTAGTGTGAACACGTCTGCTGCGCTGCAGAGCGGAGCAGGATGGAAGCTCCTCACAGAGGATTCAGATCTGAAATCTTTTAGTCGCTGAATTATTGATGAAAACACTAAACCAGCTGCAGAGTCTTGGATGATTGGTGATGAAAAGTTGAAGCAGATCATATTCCTGCTTCCTGTCACTGAGAATCAGCACAACGTTCACCAGTTTACATCTAGTCTGCTCGTTTTCATGTTGTGAGCACCTTCAGTATTTACAGCCAACACCTGTGCAGAGCAGTGAGAGGTCAGAGTCTGCAGAGGAGCTCAGTGCTGCTAAATCTACACACACCAGCATGTTGTTTTTTCAGGCCAAGACATTGTGTATTCATATCCAACAGAAGTTCACAACACATAGAAATATTCACATTACATCCATGGATTTACTTGATGACTGCAGATGGTTCTGACCACAGGTCAAACAACCAAAAATGAAAAAAGGATTTTATCCCCAAAGTGTAAACGTAGGTTCATTTAATAATGTTGTGGTTTTGTGTCTCTTTACGTCTCGACTGATAACTACAGAGGAAACTATAAACCATAATAATATTCATCAGTTCCTCAGTAACACAAGAATCAGCAGCCTCTTGTTTAAAAGTCATTCAGAGGTGCAGCTGTAGAGGAAACACACAGTCACTTTAAAATGATCAAAACACATTCATCTGAACAAAATGTCTTTCCTTTTGTCTCCATTAATCATTTAAAAATCAATAACATTGAAATCAAAATCAAACAAATAAAACGACTGAACTTTGAGCTCATTTTGTCACAAACATACGCTGATTCAGCCTAAACTGCAAAGTTCAATCAAACAAACCACTTTAATATCAATGAAATAAACACAGAATAAAAGACAAACTCTGGCCAACAAATGAAACGACATATTAAAAAAATAAAGATATTTCAGGATTGTCACATAAAGACATGTCTCTCTGTTCCTGGCTGTCATCTGATTGGTTTACACGTTTTATAGATTCCTCCCTGAGTTCTGTCAGCCCAGTCACCAGAGGTGATGTTGGCATCGTGTGTTTCCACAAATATGTTACAGTTAAATCATGTGTAAGTGACGTAGCGTATGAGCTGACTGTGTCATCAGGAGGTGGATGGAGAGACACGTAAGTGAGACACCAAGCTGCAGTGTACTGTTCCTGATCAGAGGAGTCATCACCGCATTTTCAAAGGCTTTAGCTACCGTATGTGGCTGATGTTCTTTAGGGACCCGTTCCTGTTTTTTTCAGTGAGAATAGTGACAGGGAAAGTGGTTGTTTTTTCACTGAGACATCACTGCGTTTCCTGCCCGGAGAGAGCTACAAAAACAGCACTTTTTAACGGAGACATCGCTGTGTTTCCTGCTGCGATAATACCACAAAAAGAGGGTGTTTTTCACCAAGATATTGCTGCGTGTCCAGCTGGGATTTTGCCCCCAAACCAGGTAATTTTTAGGCCAAAACATGACATTTTTCAAACCATAACCACGTGGTTTTGGTGCCTAAACCTTCCACATGTTTACCACAGCGTTGTTTAAAAGTTTCTGCGACATAACACCATACAAATGTAACGTGTACGTGGTTTGCAGAAATGCCAACATTTATTCTGATGACTGGGTTGGTTTTGGTCGCCCTTTAAAAAGCTGTTTCACTGTGACTAATTCTTTACATAATGACAGCTGATATCTCAACCTGCAGGATATGAAGGGTCTTTTGTGGAGGATAAAGTCATGTTTTGATTTGATTTCTTAGGTGCGATTGAACAAAACTGTTCAGGTGGAAAAAAAGTCTGTTCAGGTTTCCTGTCAGGCTGCTGACATCACTCCTGTTTTAAAGGAGGCTCATCAGACAGTGACTCATTGAGTTTGCTGCTCAGTCATTAAGGTGCTTGTGTTCCTCACAATGACTCGTCACCACCGTCACGTCCTGCTCAAATTAATAGAAACACACAGAAGATCATCAGGGACAACTCAAATCGTCTGTCCATCATTTTCTTTTTTTCTTCTTAATAAAACGTCCTCTCCAGTTCGTCCTGAAGGACCAGGTGGCAACTGTGGCGGCCATCTTGTTTCTGGCTCACAGATGGGAGGAGGTGGAGAAGCAGAGTTTGAGGGTGAAGGGGTTGGAGGTGTCTGCAGGTCACAGAGGGAGAAACACTGTGAACAGTCTGTGTGAAGGGTTTCAGTCAGATATTAAACATCATGTAGTGTGCTGAGGAGAGGTCCTCTCTCTTTGTTGTTGTTGTTGTTGTTTACTAGATATGTGTGAAGCCTGACATCTGGTGGTGACTGCAGGAAGTGACCTGCTGTTGGTGCTGGATGACGTCACCACCTCTGACCAGTGTCAGAGTTGAGAGACTGTTTAATAAACTCTTACTGTTGGTGCTTTCAAGGACACTCAAACATCTGAGATTTGAGCGTCAGCTGCAGAACAAATGATTTTACATTTTCCTTTAAACACCAGCCAGCTGTGCTTTGAGCTTGATCCTGGGGTGAGCATGCTAATATGCTAAATTTATTATAGTGTGCTAACACATGCTAGCATGTAATGTTTTGGATGCTAACATGCTAACATATGATGATTTGACTGGACTGATTTTTAATATACTAAAGTTCATCAATGTGCTGACTCTTACACCTTATGACAATTCTCTGACTGTGTCGTCACACCCACAGCTGATGGTATTTTGGGAAGTCTGCTTCCTCTCTTTCCCTCTCACAGTCAGATCCTCAGGTGGATATTAATCTGGTGTCTTTGTGTTCAGTATAAAGCAGGAGTCAGGACGTGGTTAGCTTAGCTTAGCATACAGACTAAACGCAAGGAGACACAGCTCGTCTGATTCTGTCCAAAGTTTGAAAATACACCTTTCAGCACTTCTGAAGCTCCTCTGATTAATGTGATGTAACTGGCTGTTTGTTTAATCTGAACACAAACAGAAAGAGAAAAACCTGCAGTTCCTCTAACGTCCACTTGAGGCTGGCTCCAAAAGAGAGTCAGTCCCCACAGGCGGCCATGTTAACATGTAGAAATAAACATGTTCACAGCCTGGTACAAAAAACTGTTTTAGTCTCTGTAGCTAATTTCAACCCTCATGACGACTGTACGGGGCTGAATTTATATAGAACTCACCTATTCACACTTTATTAAGGTTACGCATAATTAATGGCGGAGCATCTGCTTCTCAGTCAGATACACCCTCTTGTCCAGATATGGTCACTTCTGGCTCCAATAAACCAAGATGGCGACCGCCAAAATGTTGAACTGGGGTCTTAAAAAACAGGAGTCCACAAACGATGGACGACGTCACCGAAGCACCATCCATTATTTTATACAGTTGCAGTGAGGTGACATGTCATGCTGACACTTCCTGCTGTGTGTGTGTGTGATAAGTGTGTGTGTGATAAGTTTGTGTGTGTGCCTGTGTGTGATGATGACTTACTGGGTATTCTGATCTGGTGGTGGTTGAGGACGGTCAGAGCCTCCACCGCTTCAATTTTACTGTCGAACTCCAGCAGACCAGACAGAGTCTTAGAGCTGGCTGCTGGGAGGAAGAGGAGAAGAAGTCAGATCTCAGCGACTCAACTGACTGAACTGTGTTCAAGCTGTGTTTGGTCTGTAGCTGCTCGTCTGCTCTGTGATTGGTTAAACTCACGTTTGGCATCGAAGACCTTGAACTTGGTGAAGGCGGGAACGTTGTGCTCAGTGCAGAGCTGCAGGGGAAACAGAGGAGAGGTCAGACTGAAATCACGACCAGAGCTCTCACCTTTTAAAGGATGATTCCGCTGTCGGAGTTCTGCGGGTGGTGCTGACGTCACTCTCTCCACCTCTACCCTAGCATTACAGGGAAACGAGGACGCTGATTTTAACATGACTCATTTCATACACCTGAGTGGAACTGAAAGGAAACACAGAATATCTGCCTGGATCGACCACGTGACTGATGACAGACGGATCTACATCTGGTCAGACCCTTTAAGTGTCGACATCATGATGACATCATGTGATCAGCTGGAGGTGCAGCTGCCTCTCCCCCACAGGGCTGTAGGCTCCATAGGAGTGTTAAAATGTGTTTGTCTTGTTGTGTTATTGGGAGCCAGAATAGAAGGAGTCATGGCTCAAAACCAGCCGCCACTGCCCGTCAACAAAAACAAAGACAACTATGGTTAAATGTGATAAGACCAAAGGACTGGACGGAGGCCATCATCAAAAATGCTCACATGTGCAGCGCACACTTCATATCAGGTTAGGGAAAAAGTATTTCCTGTTGTAGGGATGAATAAGGTTATGTGTATTAAGGGTTATCATGTCCACCTCATCAGAAACTGGGGAGGGATTAAGAGGAAGATTGGATTTCTCTGCAACGCTAACTTTTTAGCACATTAGCTAACGTTAGCTTCCATAGCAAAACAAACAAGTGTGGTCCTCCTTTGTAAGATTGGCTTCCTGTGACATCATCCATCCACTGAGTGAGAGCATACGGGTCGGCCAGTCTGGTCCCGTTGGTCAGTGTTTACTTATTCAAGTAACACTGGCGGTCCCGGAGAGTGAGTGACCTGACATGGTGCGTTGGTAAATTCAGTCTGACGCTCTACACTAAAATGAGAGCCCTGTTGGTGGAAGAAACGCAGCGTTATATTTCTACATGAATGAACCAACGGTTAAGTTAATCACACATTCACTCCGCTCGGCGCTCTGCTGCTCCGTCTCCACAGACAGAGTGTCCAGAGTGCGCTCTGCCACTCTGACAGTGCTAATGTCTGTGGTGAACTGTTTTGCCCCCACCCAACAAAAATCTTCACACTCTTTACTAACAGTAAAAGGGTCTATAATGTAAAAAAAAAAAAAAAAAGGTTTGTGCCTTTACGTTTCACAACTGCCAGAATGAAATGATGAGAGTCAGCCTCACACACATAAACTAAGCGACATGCGTGGATGAATATGCAGAGTGATTAGGTCAGCCTCTCTGTGTTTACTTTTGTTCACACTTTGCCCAATCTTTACACTGTAGAACGCGTGTGCAAAGTTAAAGTGACCCAGAGAGTCACAATGGGGAAATATGCCAGATGAAAGTTTCCTTTCACTAGTTTGACCCTTTATATACATCCTGTTTACAGGTTTGCTTACAAGTGTGGAAGGTTTCACTGAAACACTGATTGAATATTGTTGAGGATTTGATCTGAAGCTACTTTCTAAAACTGTAGCGATTGGTTGAAGTCACACAGATCTGTATAATGTCGAGAAGCATCTGAAATAGCTGAGAAAAAAATCTGACTTCACACTGAATGTATTTAACATGATAAAATGTTTTTAAAGTCACATCTCATCACTGAAGGAGTCCCACAGAGCTCCATACTGGGCCCCATTCTCTTTTCAGTTGAAACATCTTCAGGGAGCTCTCTCACTTATCCATTAAAACTCTTCATGCAGGTGTGACCTGACCTTGTACAGCTGGTGTTGGCTCAGGGTGGGCGGGGCGTTGTAGAAGTGCAGGACAGTGGCGGGCGGCTGGATGATGTTCCTGCTGCTCTGCGAGCTGCTGAAGCGATTGTTTCTGGTCAGACTGAAGTCCTGGTAGCTGCTGCTGCCGTCGGCTAGCTCGAACACCTGACTGGGAATCACTGCCTGCTGCTTCGAGACACTGAGAGGTTTGACATGAAGCAAATGTACATTTTCAGACTGTAGAAATGTTACAATGAGAAGAGTAAAACAGAGCATACTATCAGTTGAGCGGTCTGACGCTGTGGTTTTCAACATTTTTGGTTTGTGAGTGTTCAACCCAAATCAGTTGTCAAGTTTCCACCCAGAAGTAGCTTCATTTTTAACTGAAGCTGTGTAAAGTCACTTTGGATGGTTTAATTTGGTTTAATGTGAAGCATTAAAACAATCCGGTCCATCTACGTCCCAGCCCTCACCTATGGTCATGAGCTCTGGGTAGTGACCCAAAGAATGAGATCGTAGTTACAAGCGGCTGTTATAAATTTCCCCCTTAGGGTGTCGGCTCAGCCTTAGAGATAGGGGAAAGAGCTCAGACATCTGGAGGGAGCTGGGAGTAGAGCCGGTCTCAGTTGAGGTGGTTCATGCATCGGATCAGGATCCTCCTGGGCGCCTCCTGGTAGAGGTGTTCCGGGCACGTCCAGCAGGTAGGAGGCCCCGGGGCAGACCCAGAACACGCTGGAGGGATTATATATCTCATTGGAACCGGAAGATAGCGTCGTGTATGGACGCAGCGGCTTGTGGCTCTCTGTTACGTTTATTCTTATTTACTGGTGATGTGATGAGGGTATTACTCTGGGTTGTCACTGTTGTTCGTTTTAACTTTGTGTGTACTGTGTACAGTAGTAGATTTAAAATCTCATGATACTGGCAATATAGGACTTCTAATCTTTTCTATCTAACGCCTTAGGGTCCCCCAAGGAGCTGGAAAGCGTTGCAGGGGAGAGGGATGTCTGGGGTGCTTTGCTTGGCCTGCTGCCCCCGAGACCAGGCCCCAGATAAGCGGATGAAAATTGATGGATGGTTGGATGGATGGATAGATGGGTGGATGATGGATGGATGGATGGATGGATGGATGGATGGATGGATGGGTGGATGGATGGATGGGTGGGTGGATGGATGGGTGGGTGGATGGATGGATGGATGGATGGATGTGTGGATGGATGGATGATGGATGGATGGATGGATGGATGGATGGATGGGTGGATGGATGGATGGATGGATGGATGGATGGATGGGTGGATGGATGGATGGATGGATGGGTGGATGGATAGATGGGTGGATAGATGGATGGATGGGTGGGTGGATGGATGGATGGATGGATAGGTGGATGGATGGATGGATGGATGGATGGATGGATGGATGGATGGCATTAGAACATCTTTTCTAGTTATGGCACCAACTTAAATGTCTCCAGCTCATTTCGGATCTTTGAAATTTCAGTAAAGATAAAATATATTATATAATGCTAACTAGGCCACGCCCACAAGCACCAATCATTATGACAGTTAAGATCTGTTATAAGATGTGGCCCTGAAGCATTCACACCAAACTTGGTGAAATTCTGTCCATGGGGTTTTGAGGTTCAAATTTGTGCCATTTTTGGCTGCCGATTTCAGTCATGTTTTGACCTGATGGTTGACGTGGAGGGACAGACCAGGAGGATCCATCCTTGGACCATGAACATCCACAGCTGATGTCATGTCACCACCAGCAGTTATTCTCTAACTCAACGTATCAGACTGCCCTCCTGACCCCAGCCTTGGCTGTGTCTCTGAGTGAGTACATCAGGACTCACCAGACGTTGAGTTTTTTGCCGAACACCTTAATGCTGTTGAGGTGAGTCACGGCTCGGTCCACAGCTTACTCATCGCCCATCTCCACCAACGCCGTGCCGGGGACGCTTTTCATGAACTTCACCTGCAAACACAACCAATCAGCTCAGGTCTTCAGGGGGATTACGTCTTCCAGACGATTGACAGGTGACACAACACAGAATTTATGCAAACTCAAATCATTTCTACTGTAACACCTGACACACCCCCACCTCACACACACACACACACACACACACACACACCTTCTCCACGTTGCCGTAGAGACAGAAGAGGTTGAAGATGCGGCTGCAGTTCATCTTGGCAGGATGGATGCCGCTCACCATGGCGACCGAGCTGGAGGCAGCACGGCCCAGGAAGGGGGACGCAGAGGAGGACTTACGGGGGAGCAGCGGGTAGGAGATCATGTCCTGCGCCTCCTCACTGCTCCTCCTGTATCTGCTGTTAGCAGGCAGAGGCAGCAGGGGGCAGTGTGGACCTGCAGGGAGACGCACAACATTTTAGACACAGTGGAGGACTGTCAGAGGTCAGGATGAGACAGCTAGAGAACAGACAGACAGACAGACAGACAGACAGTACCGTAGCCATTGGACGGATGCTCTCCCAAGATGGCCTGACGCTGCCTCCCCTTTCCCCGCTCTGCAACACACACAAAACACAGAAATCTAAGTCAAGTCAAAACTCACAGGAAGGTTGCTGCTAGTAGTACACATGCAAACACACACACACACACACACACACACACACACACTCAATAATTGAAGTGACTGTTGATGCAATAGTCGGGGTTAGCATAGTCTGATCTGCATAAGGCCGGAGCAGCAGGTGTTGAAAATGAGCGCTCCCCCTCTGATGAAAATCTATTTTCAGCCTACCAGTGTTCATTTTGACATTCTGAGTCTTGAGATGAAAATGTTCATTAGTTTTAGTCACATTTTAGTCCTGATGTTTTCTATATGTTTATTATCTTCAAACTAATCCAGTGAGGCTGATTCATGGATCATAAATCAGACTCAAGGTGACAGGTTGTATAAAATAATGTGTGTGTCATGTCTCCAGCAGTGTGTGACAGGTTTAAGGGCTGATCTACGAGCACACACTTACTGATCATCATCTGAAAAGCTCAAAATCTCTCTATTTATGCTCTCAACAAATAACTAATGTGAGCCAACTAGGATTTGTCCCCAGGTTCATTGTAAACTCTGACTTAGAAAGGACCACAAACCTTCTCCAGTCTGGACTGAGTGGAGTCCTGCGGGGTGAAGCTGTGAAGGCTGCGAGCGGAGCTAGCTGCTAACAGCCACCGCTGCAACTAACAAACTCCACAAATCCATTCAGCAGCTCCACCATCCACAGTCAGACACACACGGCTGATTATTTACTGCTGAATTACAGCTCACAACTCGCACCAACCCAAACATCCTGGTGCAGACTATTTACTGGAGTTCACCAGCTTGTTGCTCATCAGGCATCTGAAGATCATTACAAGCACGGCTGTTCTCGGCTTTCAGTGTCTGATAGTCCACCACTAACAATTTCATCACGTCTCATCAATGAAACTGAAACATAGATTGAGTCCTAGATTTTAATACTAAGATGTATTTTTAGCTTGTCATCGTCTCACTTCATCACAGAAATAAAGTTGTTAATAAGAAAAATGTTTAGTTTTAGTTTTTATCAGCGAAATTAACACAGCAGCTCCAGCAGGTGTCTTAGTCAAGTTGAGACTAAAGGCATCAAATTTGTGACATTTCAAAAAGCTGATCAGAACCAGAAGATGTGAACACACTCAGTGAGAGGAACAGCACAGAGCAGCTGTCACGTGTGTTGCATGATTGTGCTGCATTTGTGCGTGTGTGTGTGTGTGTGTGTGTGTATGTGTGTGTGCGTGTGGTGTCCTACCTCGCTGCAGGAGGAAGGGTTTGGTGTAATCCCAGCTGTTGTTGTCATTGCGGATGACGTTCAGTCTGTTGGGCTGCAGGGGGCGACAGAGCACAGCACCTCTGGATGGGTGTGTGTGCGTGGGCAGGAGAGTGAGGGTGTGTATGTCTGTGTGCACCTGAGTGTGTGTTTGTCCAGAGCACTGTGTGGGTACATGTTTGTGTGTGTGTGTGTGTGTGTGTGTGTGTGTGTGTGTGTGTGTGTTTACCCGAGCGTATTCGATCTTGAGTGTGCAGCAGCCTGCGTAGATGTCGGCCCCGTTCAGGGCCAGTTTGGCCTTCTGAGCATCCTCTGCTGACTCAAATGTGAACAAGCTCGTTAAGGATGACTCATCAGGATGAAGAGCAAGCAGCCAATCAGAAGAGAGGAATTACAAACACTGCTGAAGTTGAGGTCTACTGTCAGCCAACTGAACTTAATGTTAAAAGGGACAGGTTGTCTTCTAACCTGTGGTGCTGTTTATCAGTCTCAATAGTTTTGGTGTGAGTGTTGGAGATATCGGCCGTAGAGATGTCTGCCTTCGCTCCAATATAATCAAACTAAATGTAACTCCAAAATCATACATCTGAATAAAAGGGATGCACGATATACCATCTTCTGGGGGATCATCCTCTACTAACCAATCAGACTGCAGGGTTCACTGAACTAGACTGGACTGAACTGCTTGGTGGAAACGAGGCTTTATAAAAGTCACATTAGCCTGTACACTTTACAACCTTCAGACGAGCAGAGACCACTGAAGACAGCGACAATGTTTGGGTTTGTTTTTCTGATCCTGTGATGGATGCCGGATGCAGATATTTTGTAAAAGAAAGGTCATGGACAGAAGTATTCTTCTTAGATTATTTTTGGGGGGTTTGCCTTTATCAGATAGGACAGTCTAAGTGTGATGGAGAGAGAGAAGTGATGTCATGCAGCAAAGGGCCGCAGGACTGTGGCAAGGACACTGCCTTTGTGTATGGGACGCCTGCTCTACCCACTAAGCCACCAAGCACCCCAAACTATTTTCAAGAAAGATGGGGAAAATATCTGTTTTCAGAAATACCTGTATACGTGTAAACACGGCCTTAACACACGTAAACTACACACACAGTCAGGATATTCCACCATGGCCTGGATGCCGTTGCGTTTGAAGATGACGATGCGCAGGACGTTAACGACGGGGTTACAGACGGTGTAAAGAACATCCTGAAAGAGAGACGAAGACAGAGCACGGTGATGACTGACAAGAGATCACATGGCAGCAATAACCACAGTCTGCTTTCACTCCAAACAGGGAAATAAAGTTCTGGTCTTTATGGACGAGCTTCAGCTGGACTCACAGTGGTGATGGGGTACACCGGGTTCTGGATGGACAGCAGCAGGACTTTGTTTCCGCTGGACGGGTCGTCTGTGTTGGTGGGCCTGGTGATTCTCTGGCTGGTAGAGAAGTTGAAGAAGGCCTGCTGCTCTGCGATGCAGACGGCCTCGCGGGTTCCACAGGACACGCAGCGCTCGGCGCTCTCCACGCTGTCGAACTCCACCAGAGCCTGACGCTTAAAGGGCATCATCATGACGTAACTGCAGACAGAGCAGAGGTCGGGACAGGACTTCACTCAGACACTCAGCTGCTTTGTCTTTGTGTCAGATGGAGCTTCAGGTTGAAGCCGCTGTTAAAAGAGTTTCATGTTTCACTTCACACGTCTGTAACTATATTATCTTCTGGTTATCAGCCAGGTTTCCGTGGCAACAACAGTGACCTCCAGTGACCTCTGAGTGTGTGCCAGTCTGCAGGTTTCTATTTTCAGTGTTTTGACCTTTTGACCTTCATTATTTTATCCTGTTAGACATTTGTGTTTTGTCATAATTAGTGTATAAATTCTTGAGTTATGGCCAAAAACATGTTTTGTGAGGTCACAGTGACCTTTGACCAAAAATACTAATCAGTTTATTCTTCAGTCCAAGTGGACGTTGGTGCCAAATTTAAAGAAATACCCTTAAGCCTTTCTTGAGATATCGCATTCATAAAAATGAGACAGATGCAAGGTCACACTGACCTTGAACTTTGACCACCGAAATCCAATGCGGTCATTGTTGAGTCTGAGTGAGCATTTGTGCCAAATTTAAAGAACTACCCTCAAAGTATTCTTGAGACATCACCTTCACAAAAATTGGACAGACAAGGTCACAGTGACCTTGATCTTTGGCTTTTGAGCCAAAAAAAATCTAATCACTTCATTGTTGAGTCCAGGTGGACATTTGTGCCAAACATAAAGAAATTCCCAGGACGGGACAAACGTACAGACGAACAATCCAAAAACACAACGCCTCTGGCCGGTTCATTTCAACGCCTGAACACAGCCGTGCAAAAACAAAATCACAAACAATGCAACATAATTAAAAACCTTGTGAAGAGTTCATCTTGTAACTCTGTAAACATTTTTCCTGTGCCGTACTTCAAGCCAGGAAAGTCCCTTTGTCTGTAGGAACAGTCTCACCTGATTGGCCTGTGAGAAATACTGCGATGATAAAATGATTAAGTCCCAATGTCCTCAAATAAGTACTTCCTAATTAACAGCGTCTCTTAGCCTTTGTTGCTGTTGCTAAAGTTGGTCAAATGTGTTGCCATATCAAACTACCAACAATGACCATAAATAAACAAGTTTCAACCATAAGATTTGATCAGGTTTCGGATCTTGTCCACATTTGTGTCAGGATCATAAACTGCCGCCGTCCAGTGTGTCCCATACCCCCGCTAAGGGTGTCTGTGCACATCAGGCTCTGCTGCTGAGGGCCGCTGACTGAGGGTCGGTGTTTGACAAGTTGGTAACAATAATGATGCTGATGCTGACGCTGAAACAAGACGGAGCAGTGATGGAGGAAACAACAGTGACAATGTGCATCATAAACACATGATGGTTCTGACCTCAGAGCAGCTGAGACGCACTGAAACATTAAATCTTTGGCCTGTGTGTGACAGAACATTGAAAAATATGTGCACACAGAAATGTATGCAGGCAGTATATTGGAGATAAAATGTTACCAGATGTTGCCAAACTTGTCGAGCGCCTCTACCAGATCGGCCTCCACCACGGCGTCACAGAGCCCTCTGACGTGGACGACTGGGGACGGGGGGATGCGGTGACCGTCCTGCACGCCGTCCTGCAGAGAGAAGAGAATCTCAGAGACTGCTGTCGTTCTCGTTGACAGGCAGAAGTCGGTTGATTTCTACATTCATTTATATCTGACTGTACAGCAGGAAGTGAGGCCCAGCCCCACAGATATTCATATCACAGATGCATTCACAAACACAGTTTTATATGTTTAACAAAGACAGTGTCCCTGTGCACACAGAGTTTAATGTGCTGGGACCTCATAAAGAAAGAAAAACACCACCACACACAAGATGTAAGTGAGGACAGGAAGACAGATATCTGTTTCTACATTTATCATCCCATCAGTTTGTGCAGCCATAAACATGCAACCCACATCACGGCATCAGACACACAGACAGAAGACAGTTTCCTGTTCAGCGTCTTCAAGAGTGACCTCAGAGCCATGACGGTGAATACATGAAAAAAGGTCAGGGTCAGGCTGGTTGTTACACACAACAGCAGAGTGGTGACTAGATAGAAACGTAGCTGCCTCATTGGCCGCTAAATCGTCAACGTTGGCGCCATATTGGAGAAAACAAGGCCTGCGTGTAAATAAATGAAAGCAAACAGAGGAGCAGCTGTTTTCTGGATAAAAAGCACTATAGGCCAAATGCTGTACTTCTTCTAACCATCTACATGTGGTCAAAAATAAAAGTTGTCTCCAGATAAATCTCGATATTTAGTCAGGCTTAAGTAACCTACAAACACGGTGGAAAATAATTCGTCACAAGAAACTGTAAAAATTCATGTTTGTCAAACATGAATTTGGTTTGTTTTCCTGAATTAATACTATGCTAATGCTAATGCTAATGCTATGAAGATTAATGTGGAAACAGACCCTTTAGGGCCGATGTCATGATGACGTCAGTCTGTTAACTGGAGGCGTGAGCTGTGTCTCAGTTCAGGGCTGCAGCCTTCGAAGGCTGAATATGAAGACCGACTGCATCACATCGGCGCAACCAAGGCCGTCCCATTTCAAAGCCTCCTTCAAATGCGGCTGAGAAATGCAGCCTTCCCACCCAGAATTTTGAGGATGCAATGGATGAATCCTTCATGGCCCAGCCTAACCCAAGATGCATTGCGTGCTGGTGATGGTAACACATTAAGCTAACTGTTGTTAACATTACTATGAGCTAAAAGCACGCAGCTTAAACAATCTTTTGTTACTTTATTTATAAGTTTACCTGAAAACGCTCCATCAGCCTGAAATATATCAGATGGCAGCGTCTCCGACGGTGAGTCATCTCCTCAAGTATTAAGTTTAGGGCTAACTAACTTACTCCTTCTTTCGTCAGGTAGGTTGCTAAGTAACAGTAATGCCAACGGGTCAGGGTGAGAACAATTGGTGATGCAACCACGAAATCCTCCGCAGACCAGACTATCCAAATTCAGAGACCGTTCGGTTTGGCTGATGCGGTCTTCAAAGGACGTGACCAACGTCGACCGCGAAGGCCGCGTCCTTCAAAGGCAGAGGCAGTTGATAAGCAGACAGTGTTGAAAAGTTCAGTGTCTCAAATCACATACTTATGTACACTTAATAATTTAAGTGCATGCTAAGCGCGTTCACACTGCATAGGTCGGGAAAATGCAGTGTACCACTGGCACACTTAAAATGGTCCAAAAGTTACTTTAACTCCATAAAGCTGAGAACACTCTTGTACCTTTACTCTCCACATGAATACTCGTGTACTTCTTACTTCAACAACATCTTTGGTGTTGCTGGTACTTTTACCTCAGTGCAGGATGGGAACATTTCAGGACTTATTTTAGCTTTAAGGCAGAGAACGTTGGTGAAGATCATTAATTGAATCAAATCAAACTTTGTTGACGGTTAGGTGTTGTTGCAGGTGGACTGAGGGTGCGTCGCTCTGAGCTGGCTGTCAGAGAAAATCAGCGAGGTGTGGGTGAGAAAAAATCTTGACGGTTACACTCAGAAAATGTTCTCACTGCAGCAGAGAGGTGATAAAAATATGTTTACTGTTTCTGTCAGGAAGCGCTGCAGGTTTTGCAGCCTGACCTGTTTTCTGCAGCAGGTTGAAACACTTCACACCAACGGCTGCAGGAAACACGCTCTGATCAAGGTTATTTGAGGTGCTGACCTCGACGTAATCTGATTCACAGCAACACTTTGGTCTCTGTAGATGTTTGGCTGCAGACTTCAGCTCCAAGAGTCATTGACACTGTTTCCTGTAGATCTGAGACATTTTCATGATGAACTTTGGCTGATAAGAATCTACAGACACAAAAGTTCTGCAGTCAAATGGAAGTTTTTCCTAAATGGTGAATAACTTGTGTTTTGTATTGTTTCAGATTTCCCTCATTTTCAGGCTTGTTTTGTTCATTTTGAACTAAAACGTGTCTGGGGCTCATTGTGTGTTAATGAGACTCGTCACCTGGAGAGGTTGAAGAAGATGTTTGTTCTTCCCTGTTCCAAAACCAAAATCAAACCCTGAAAAGTGTAGGGTTAGCTAGCTACTGAAGATCAATCAATCAATTTTATTTATAAAGCCCAATATCACAAATCACAATTTGCCTCACAGGGCTTTACAGCATACAACATCCCTCTGTCCTTATGACCCTCACAGCTGATCAGGAAAAACTCCCCAAAAAACCCTTTAACGGGGAAAAAAACGGTAGAAACCTCAGGAAGAGCAACTGAGGAGGGATCCCTCTTCCAGGACGGACAGACGTGCAATAGATGTCGTACAGAACAGATCAGCATAATAAATTAACAGTAATCCGTATGACACAATGAGACAGAGAGAGAGAGAGAGAGAGA